TACGTTGGGTCGGGCCGCATAGGCGCAGAGTCGGAATAGAATCGGATCGGCCGCGCCAGGATTCACAACGGCCGCCATGCAGGCATCGGGGCTCATCGGATTGCTGGAACACCGAAATCGCATTAAACCGAGCCCGGCAATCCCGACATCGAACTGGACCGATCGGATCGGAATGCGTCCTGCAGCCCGAGCAAAAACGCGCGCGCAGACACACGGGAACGAAGGGAGGGGCCTGGAGGTCCGCCAGCGCAGTGGCCTCGGCAGGGGCTGGCCGTTGCCGCCGCCACCGCCGCTGCACGCTGCCGCCGCCGCTGCTGCCGGTGGTCGTCGTGCCCCGACCGTGTGCTCGTCGCTCCCAGGCTACTCCGCGTCGCGAGAAACTCCACGACGCACGGTGTTCGGCAACACCGGGCCACGGAGGCCCTCGCCGGGCCTGAAAGACCGTCAAACGTCGAGTCGGGACGAGAAGCCGGTCCCGTGGAGTGGGTCGAGACATCTGGGGGGAGGGCCACGCTGAGAACGAAAACGCACCGCCGGGGGCTGGGACTCACGCGTCCTGGAAACAGTCCGCCAGGGGTCCAGCCTCGGACCCTCGTGCGTCGGCCAAGCAGTGGAAGCCCTTGCGCCACGATGTCTGTGGCAACTCATGGGGCCTCCTGCGCCATCTTGCTAGCTCCTGCGAAGCGACGCCAGCCGTCGCTACCCATCGCGAGTCGACCCCAATCGACGCTAAATCAACGCTGTATCGGCGCTTCCCCATCGATTACCAGACGCTAGCGCACACTAGTGCACTTCAGCGACAAACTTGCGAGAACATGCAATACTCCCATGAATTACATCCGAACAAGATGGATTCAAGAGCTCTGGAAACCCGATGGCCCCAGGACTCGAGACTATTTCCCGAAGCACGGATGCGGGCAAAATGTATATCCAGATCCACTGCATCTTGGTGCATCGGGCTCCCGCCCTGAGATTCTCGAGGCGCAGGGCAGATGGATAGAAGTCTGGCCCCTAGAATCTATATTTCTATCCAATCCACTGCGCCTAGGCCTCGAGGCGCCCCTTCCCAGAAAATCCACTACGCAGTGGGTATGCATAAAAAACTTGTCCGCCAACGCGGAGCGTTGGCCAGCGCGGCCGCTGCGGCGAACGGCCACGACCCCTGGCTGCCCTTTTCAAGGCTGGGAGGGGCACGATGTATACAACGCGTCGCTTGGTCGGCCAATGAGCTCTGTACATAGACGCCCCAACTGCCCAACCTGTGGGGCGCTGGAGCATAGATGGGGAGACCAACAGGTACCGATACTGCTACTCCCCGGACTTCTCCCGGGCTGCGTTCCGACCAAAATGTCGAGGCAAACCCAGCGGTGGCGACGAGGGCCACCAAGGAGGCCCCCCAAGAAGGGGAAGGCGGGCGAAGGGTGGTGGTATGGGTGCCTTTCCCTCCTGTGATGTACACCACACTCCTGCGCCGAATCCACTGGCCCCTTGGCCGACCCAGGGAAGTGGCGTGCACATCCTCCTCTTCCTCCTCCTCCTCCTCCTCCTCCTCCTCCTCCCTCCTCCTCCCTCCTCCTCCTCCTCCTCCTCCTCCTCCTCCTCCTCCTCCTCGCCCTCCTCCTCCTCCTCCTCGCCCTCCTCCTCCTCCTCCTCCTCCTCCTCCTCCTCCTCCTCCTCCTCCCTCCCTCCGAGCGGCGCCGCCGCCCGGGGTCCCGGCCGCCCTCCCGCCCGGCCTGCCCCAGAGCGGAGGAGGGCCAACAGCGGCGGCTCACCCGCGGGGCCCTCGTCCGCTCACATTCCGTCCCCCTGGGCTTAAGTCGGGCGTGTCCCCCTACAGGGGAATTGTCGACGAAAAATGAACAAATACTCTAAAAATTCTCCAACATGGTAAAACAAATACCCCCAAAACTAGTTCCCAGACTATTGCATGACTATTGTTTGAATATTCCTCCTGTACAGAGACGGGCCCGACTTAACCCTGGGCTTCGGTCGGGCATGTCCTCCTACAGGCGGACTGCGGAAGACAAGTAAAGCAGAGTCAAACACATCACAAATAGTTGCACGAGAGTAGACAACAGCATCGTCACCAGACAACTTAGTTTGCTTTTACCAGTCTCGAGTATTCCTCCTGCAGAGGGGCATGCCCGACTTAAGCCTGGGATCCCTTTGTTCCAACCTCCGCGTGCGCTATTGCGCGCGTTCGTTGTGAAGTGTGATGCCATCACGCCGATAGCTCCTGACAACTCCGGGGTCCTGTACCGAGCAGCCTTCAGTAGTTCTGGATCGACAACAAAAGCAGGCTTCTATAATTAACAGCACTGTCGACTACACGCAAGACAGACCCTGTGTAAGAGTGACCTTTGGTGTGCGGCTCTTTGGGGGCCGCGGGGGGTCCAAAAAACAGCGCGCAAGACGCTGCTGCCGCACCGCGTTCGGCGATCGGGTCACTCCTTCGGGCCCGCACCAAAAGGTCACTCCGGCGAACAGTCACTCGCACGTGTAGTCGACGCTGCCTGTGGACGGCAAGGGAAGAGGGCAGAGAGAAGGGCCAAGGATCGGGGATGGACAGACCCCCCTTCAGCAAAACGTGGTTTAGTGAAAACGACCCGAGGCCCAAACCTGGCGGGTGCAAGCCCGGAAAATGACGGCCACGGCGCCCTCTCGAGAACCGAAGACGGACAATTCGCTGATCGACGTGTCCCTGTTGGGGGCTGTGTCTATAGCCCCGACGCTCCCAACGTGGGGACGGTCCCGGCCCGCGCTCCGGCAGCGGGCTCTCCGGCAGCGGTGGCGACCAGGGCCTCTCCAGCCATGAGGCCCAGGGGGCACGAGCAAAACTGCCCGGGAGGGCCGCCGCGGACTCGACGGGCCCTCCTCGGATCTCCCCCCTTGACTGAAGTCGGGCGCGTCCCCCTCCAGGGGGATTGTCGACGGAAAGACAAAAGATACCCCAGAAGTGCTCCAAAAGGGGCAACAAATACTCAAAGCACAGTCCCCAGACTATTTTTGAAACTATTTTGGAATACTCCTCCTGTCGAAAAACGGGCTCGACTTCACCCTTGACCTCCTGCTCTCTCCTCCCCCCCCAAATGGGCAACAATTATTCAAAGAATAGTCCCCTGACGATGTTTGAACTATTTTGCAATACTCCTCCTGTAGAACAACGGGCTCGACTTCACCCTTGACGACCTCTTGCTCTCTCCTCCCCCCCCCACAGCGGAGATCGAGGAGGAGGCAGAGCGTCGGAACGCAGGCGAGAAACTGCCGCCTTACCGTCGGAGCGTTGATCCAAGGAACCCTAAATCCGCCGGCCCCCTTGTGGGGCCACCAGGCTGCGAGGCGCGGGATTCGCAGTTTCCTGTACCAGTTGTAGCTTGTAGTTTCCAAAGTTACAGTTCTGCTTATTGCTGGTTACTGTAACTCGTTGATTGACCGCGCGAGGGGGGGGGAGGCCCAAACAGGACTTTTTAGCACCCCCTGGGCGCGTTGTCTGAATTGCTGGGGGGGCTCGAAATCGACACCCCTCACGCAGATCCGCGGGGTCAGGGTCCAAAAACACAGGGATTTGCCACATTTCTGAAATTCGGTGCCACCCCTCACGCAGATCCGCGGGGTCAGGGTCCAAAAACACAGGGGATTTGCCACATTTCTGAAATTCGGTGCCACCCCTCACGCAGATCCGCGGGGTCAGGGTCCAAAAACACAGGGGATTTGCCACATTTCTGAAATTCGGTGCCACCCCTCACGCAGATCCGCGGGGTCAGGGTCCAAAAACACATGGGATTTGCCACATTTCTGAAATTCGGTGCCACCCCTCACGCAGATCCGCGGGGTCAGGGTCCAAAAACACAAGGGATTTGCCACATTTCTGAAATTCGGTGCCACCCCTCACGCAGATCCGCGGGGTCAGGGTCCAAAAACACATGGGATTTGCCACATTTCTGAAATTCGGTGCCACCCCTCACGCAGATCCGCGGGGTCAGGGTCCAAAAACACAGGGGATTTGCCACATTTCTGAAATTCGGTGCCACCCCTCACGCAGATCCGCGGGGTCAGGGTCCAAAAACACAGGGGATTTGCCACATTTCTGAAATTCGGTGCCACCCCTCACGCAGATCCGCGGGGTCAGGGTCCAAAAACACAGGGGATTTGCCACATTTCTGAAATTCGGTGCCACCCTTCACGCACATCCATCGCAAGGCGTGGTAACCCAAACTGCGAGAACTCCCTCGGCCCTTTAATCGCAAGGTGTGGTAACCAAGCCCGTAAACCATACACGTCTTACCAATCGCCAGGTGTGGTAACCCCTCTTGTGATCAGTTGGTTTTGCTGATTGCGAATCGGCTTCGCATGAAGTTTCGATACTGCTTCACGACAGCGCCAAGACCTCATGACTTAGCTCTTCCATGGCCCATTCTCCGAGAGAGGGGGCCGGCGGCAGGGGGCGAAGCCCTTACGGATAAGGAACGAGGCCCCTTAGATCCACAAGTTGGACTTCGATTTCCCATCGAAAACCAAAGTAAAACCCAAGGCACACTGTGAAGCAATCAAGGAACACGGAGCCCCTCCCCGACGAAAAGGGTTCCTTCTTCAGGGCCCCGACTGTACCGCTGCTCCCGCACCTCTCGCCCGAGGGGCAGCTCGGCTGCACGGAGCGCCTGCAGCGGCGTCCGGAAGGGCCCCGGAGGGGTCGACGGATCGACGCTCCTGCCCACGGCGGCCACGCCCGCAGTGGAGCGGTGAGGCTCGAGACGGAGGATGACGAGAATGAAGGGGCCCAAGGACAGACAAATAAATAGACACAAATTAAATAGAAGAATCCCCCATATTTTCCCATATTTTCTGGGTTTCTGTCTTCCCGCCCACTTCCCATATTTTCTGGGAAATCGAGGAATGATTGTGTCTGTGTCTTTCTTTTCCTCCTGAGAGAAGGAGCAGCGAGGAGGATGACGAGGAGTGGAACAAGCGTCCAAAGATGAGAGTCGGGGAGGAAGGAGAACCTAGGTGCCGGCGGCGCGATCCTCGAGGACGGCCGCCCCCGAGGCGCCCCTCCCGCCCCCGAGTGATGGGCCTGTTTTTCACCACCACCACGTCCACCTTAAGTTGGAGGGGGAGGGGGCCTCCTCCTCCTACTCCTCCTCCTCCTCGTCGTCCTCCACCTCCTTCCCCCCTCCAGCTTCTGGCCGTGGTGGTGGCAAACAGGCCCGCCCCCCGAGGGGCTCGAGCCCGCGGCCGCGTCGGAGGCCAGGCGGAAGTCGAGGAAGGCGCGCACGGCGCCCGCGTCGGCGCCGGCTGGCGGGGGCGGCGCTGGCGGGGCACGGGGGGCCCGCGGTCGGGCGAGAAGCTGGCGGTCGGGGCCTCCCAGACATGCTGGGATCGTTGTTTTTTGTTTGTGTGTGTGTTTTTGTTGTGTTTTTTTTTTGTGTGTGTGTGTGTGTGTGTGTGCGTGTGTGTGTGTGTGTGTTAATTCATGTATGTATGTATGTATGTATGTATGTGTGTATGTATGTATATATATATATAGATTTGCACATATACCTAAGCACATATATATATATATATATATATATATATATATTGTATGTATATATATGTATATCTGTATATACATATATACTAGAACCATCGCGCGCGCATCGCGCGCGCCCAAGTTCTAGCTGGGCTTGATCGGCTAACTCATGTAGTATCATTGTCGTTTCTTGCGTCCAGGGACTCCCTTGGAGGCCCTGCGCAAGCCTCGGAATCGTATAGAAGGGGAAGTGTGGAAACGCAGGAGTCATTACTTTCCTTTAGGTATTCAAAGGCTTCCTGGGTTCTTTTTTGGAAAGTGAGAGGGGTCTGAATTGTGGTCTGTTGTGCAAGAGTAGACCGGGGGTCAAACTTGGAAAAAAACAGGTTGTGGGATTTCCATATGTTTCTAGTTCCTCGGCGCTGTTCGGCGCCCCTGTGGGATTTTCCAAACCCCCTGGGGGTTCTGGAAGCCTCCTGGAGGCCTGGAGAGCCGTCGGAAGGGTGTCTCGGGCTGCGCGGGAGCGTGTTGGGCCGCTAATTACATTCTGGGAGCTTCTTGGGGTCGTCTTGGGCTGTCCTTGGGCGTCTTGAGGGCCCCCTGGGAAGCCGGGATGCGCGGTACCGGCCAGATGTCAGAGGATGCGTGGGATCTCCGAGTAGGAGTCCAGTAAACAAAAAGGCATTATTGGAATTTCCTTTTTAGAATCTTCGATCTTCGAAGGTTGCAGGCGGGAAAACGTGAGAAGGCGAAATGCAATAGAGAAACCAGTGGGAATCAACGGTTTTACCCTCTTTGGGCTCTCTCGGGACGGCTCTCGCAGCTCCCTTGGGCTGTTCTTGGAGCCTCGTCGGGATCTTTTTGGTTTCTCTCAGGGATCAGGGGTGTGTTGGGGGCCTGTTGGGGGTCCCGGAGGCCTCTCGGAGGTCTCTGGAAGCCTCCTGCTCCCGCTCTTGGGCCCATCTTGGGCCTGTTCTAGGGTGATCTGGGGCTGTCCTGAGCGCCTCTTCGGCAATCTTGGAGCCTTCTTTGCCCGTCTTGGGCGGCTCTTCAGCGTTCTTGGAGCGTTGGAAGCTTGAAAACGCGAGAGGCCAAAGACATACAAAAACAATCAAAATCGACGATTTTGGCCTCTTCGGGCCGTCCGGGACGCCTCTCGGACCTCTCTTGGGATCTCTTGGAGGCCACCTGTGAGCCTCGAGAGCCGTCGGAAGGCTGACTTGGGCTGCTTGGGAGCGTCTTGGGCCATCCTTTCTCACTATGGCGGCTCCTGGGCGGCGCCTTGGGACCTCCTGGAGCGCTGTGGAGGGACCCGGGGGCCAGGGGGGGCGGTATTTATTTATTGATCTAGATGGTAGATTATATATATATATATATATATATAACCGTACACAGATGGTTTATTCATTTATCTAGATGGTTTCTAAATTTATCTAGATGGCTGGCTTGTTTTATCTGGATGGTATATAGATATACAAACAGCACGCAGAAACAACGGCGGGCAAGATTTACCTCTCTCGGCCTCCGCGGGCCCTCGCCGGGCCGCGGGGCCGTCACAGAAAGGACCAGGGATGAGAGACCAGCTCTGTACGGGGAAAAGGCACTGAGAAGTCAGGGTTCCCCTCTGCTGGCGCTGATCCTCGTGCCACTGCAAGCAGCTCCTCCTCCTCCTCCTCATCATCATCCTCCTCCTCGTCCACCTGGTCTCGCTTCTGCTCCTTACGATGACGGTTGGTACTGGTGAGGTTCATGAGGATGCTCGAATTGGCGTGCGCAGGAACTCTCGTAGGCTTCGCATTGCAAGCCGATGCTGTTGCACTTGTGCTGAGCACTTGCGCTGAAGGCGGAAGACACGAATGGTTTCACCGTGACACGGTGTGAAGACGCGCTCGTGTGGCCCGCATGGGATTATTTGGCCGAGTTGGCGGGTACGCGATGCGCACTCAATGTTTTTGACATGCGAGCGCGTGTGGCCCTCCTGGTCTCATTTGATGAAGCGGCTGCAAGCCAAACAGTGGTCTCGACTGACTCCGTCGAGTGCGCCCGCCCAGAACTCAGCAGTCCTTGCCGAAACATAACAAGTGTGTTGGTAGCTTTCGTGCAGCGCCACTTCGAAAACCTAAATACTGGAAACATTTGGACGATTTCGGGAGCCCTGACCTCCCCAAAGTTATGCTCTCTTGGGAGCGCATCCTTCACTTCAGCCGCCTTCCGCCAGCTTTCCGCCAGCTCCCGCGGGCGGAAGCGGCCTCGTCTTTCTTCCGTCGACAGCCGCCGGCCTCCCGCCAAGGGAAGGAGATGGCAACTCCATCGATCCTCATAGGCGAAGCCCCATTTTTTTGACTACCTACCAGACCACCCCAACCCAACCCGAAGACCCAGATTTCGGGTCTGGGGGGGGTACGGATTCCATGTGTCTTTTCAATGTTCCCCGACCCCCCCCCCTACTGGAAATGGGGGCAAACTGAGGCCTTCGGGCTAGGTTGGGGTGTTCGGTGGGCGGTGATTTTTTGGGGGAGCGCCGCACGTCAGCACTTTCGCGCGCGGCGGGCACGAGGCAACTACGGGCGGACACTGGGCGACGGTCCGAAGCCGCAGGCCAGTGTTGAAGGGGCCCCGGGACACACAAGCAAATACACGCAGATAAAAGGATTCACCACATTCTTTACTATTTCCTGGGTCTTCGTCTTCCCCCCCAACTTCCCATATGTTCCTATATTTTCCTGGGAGTGGAGGATTAATTGTGTTTGTGTGTTTTTTCCCCTCCTGAAGTTTGGGAGGCTGCCAGCCGGCGCACATAATTATGGGCGGCAACGCGGCGGCCACGGGCTTGCACCGGGCGAGAGAGAGAGCCAGACCGCCAGCGCCGATGGCCCCGGACAGAATCGGCGGTGGACAAACCTCCCTTGAGGAGACCTCCCCTTAATAAAAACGGCCTGGGACCGAAACCGACGGGCCGGGACCCGCAAAAATGATGGCCGCGACGCCCTCTCGCGAGCCGAACACGGCCAATTCCTCAGTCGACGTGTCGGGGTAGGAGGTCTATCCACCTCCGACAGGCTGCAGGCACCACTTGAGGAGGTGGAGGTGCAGGTGCTGTCTCGAAAATGGCAACGCCATGCTCGCTCGCTCGCGAGCCATACGCCGAACAGCGCGTGGACAGAGCTGGTATGCACAAAACTGGGCAACGCCTCTCGCCCAAGCATTGTCATCCGGAACGCTTGCCGGTACCTTGGCAGCGTGCGTTTGCACTTGCCTGGTCCATTCGTTTCTACGGCGCCCTACACTCGTCACTTACTTGCACGTGATTGGATCAAGATCCCCAGGGCAAAGATCATTCGGGGCACCAGAGAGGAGCCACGGGATGCGAGGCATGACCTGGGCGACCCGGGGAGCGGACGAGAGCGGACGGGGAAGAGGAGGAGAGAGCAGGGCGAGACAAACTGAGCCTACCCGACGTAGACGAACGGCCCAGACAACGAAGCGACTGTGGGAGCACGAGCAGGGGGCATCGGAGGCAAGGGGGGGCGGCTCGCCTGAGCACTCCCGCACCACGCACCTCCGGACCCTGCCGAACCTCCGCGCCTCCTCGAGGAGCTTGCACTCGAAGTCGACGTCGACCTCCGAGCTCCCCCGCCCTCCCCGGACCCTCCGGCACCGTGGAGGTCACGACGGCCGCTTCTGCCAGCGCTTCTGTCAAGGGGCCCAGGGACGCACAAAGAAAGAGGCACAGATCCCAGGATCCCCAGCATGGTCCAATATTTTCTGGAGTTCCTATCCCCCCCACTTCCCACGTTTTCCAATCTTTTCCTGGGGATCGACAATTGATTTGCGCCTGTGGTTTTCCCCTCCTGATTTGGGGTTTCCAGCAGCCCTGTTCCCCCAAACACGACGCCAGCGGTCTGGATCCCCCTTGTCCTCGGCCTCCTCCTGCTCCTACTGGTGAAGTATCGCAGCTCGGAGCTCCCCAGCTGCCATATGGCGCTCGGCAGCGAACCAGTATCACTGAGGTTCTGCCACAAACGCACGCACGGACGTGTCCGATCCGTCCGATGCTACCCATCCCTCCCGTCCCCTTCAGGACGCTCGAGGATGGACAGGACATACTCAAGCAAATCGCCATGAAGGGAAAACTGCTTGGGCAATCCACGTGTGCGCGCGGCACCAACTTCCGATTGCACCCAAACTGCAACGTGCAACTGGAACGGGGGCGCGCGCGGGATGGCGGCATGGGATGGGTGAGGCAACGATGAGAGCGCGATAGATTTACATACAGGCGGGGCGTTGACCTAAGGAACGATAAATAATGAACGGGGCCCCGTTTTCCCGCAAGTTAAACTTCGATTTCCGATAGAAAACATGAGGAAAACCTGAGGCAAGCTGTGAAACACTTAAGGAACACGGAGCCCCTCCCCAACGAAAAGGGTTCCTCTTCAGGGCCCCGACTGCACATTATGGGAAGCTTCCTTCAGGTTAGACTTTTAGCCAGGCTCGCCACGAAGCTGCGAGAGCGAGAGGTGCCCTCCTGGCGGGCGGTGAAAGGATGCTTACCTGCGGTGCGTCTGGACCACGGACCACAAATCAATACACACAGATAAAAATATTCCCCATAGTTTCCCTATTCTGGGTTTCTGTCCTCCCCCCCACTGCCCATATTTTCCTATATTGTCTTGGGAATCGACGATTCATTGTGTCTGTGTGTTTCCTCTCCCTCTGAAAAATGCAAGAGAAGATCGAGAGGGGGCCAACCTTGGAGAGGTCAACGGCAACCGTGAGGCGGCGGCGCGCATGGAGTCCCTGTTCAAAAACTTCGGGCGGCCGTGCAGACTCGACAAGAAAAAGCAGACGGCGCTCCTGGCTCGTGTCAGTTCATATCCGTTTCGTATGAGTGTGTTCTCGCCATGTTTCCTGTCAGTATAGATTTGTCTCGTGTGTCTATAGGTGTGATGTATGTGCGTAGGTCTCGTGCCAGTCATGCGCTCCGCGTTGCTTACAGGGCCGGGTGGGAGGGGCGGTCTCCCCCCCTTCATCTGGCCACCGTATACGTTCGCGCAGGCGCTCGAAGGTAAGCGTGGGACCCCGAGAGACATCAGAGGGCACATGGCCGAGGCAATCCGTGCAACCAAAACGTGCGTGAAAGAAGTGCTGCAGCTGCAGAAGCTGTACGAGGAAGTGGGAGGCGACATGAAGGCAGACGAATAGATATGACCAAGATTGTCTGTCACGAGCCGCTCCTGCAGGAACACGGGTTGTGCACTGTGTATTCGGCAGTGCTGTTGCGCTTTCTAGTTGTTTGGAGGTCGCCCGTTTGTACACGGCACGGCTTCTTCGGGATGCGGCAGATCTTTGTCTTTTTCTGCTCCGTGTCTAATTTACTGGTGGGAAGGAGGAGGGCCGTGAGCGGGGGCTGGGCGCGCGAGGTTCTGTGCGGAGGATGACCCCCACGTGATCGAGAAGACGCAGACGCAGCAACTAGACGCTGCCACTCAGAAACCCACGCCCGAGAAGATTCAAGCCACCGTGAGTGGCGTGGCGACCCGTTAGGAAGCCTTCTATCAGGTCACTGGCCGTGCGACATACCTGTTCAGATACACATGCGATTGCTCAGTCGGGTACAGATGCCGATTGGCATTCTATTGCAGCGCACCCTACTATGACACTCGTAACCACGTAAACCACTGCACGCTTCCTCGGGGGGCAAGAAGCTGTGCTTCTACTTGTTCAAAACGCATGGCGCGTGAGGCTGCGAGACGCTGCACAGGGTCCGCAGTTGTTGTTGCTCTTGCGCATCTTTCTGTGCACAGAGGGGTGGAGAGGGGGCATGGGAGGCAGAGTTGGATGTGGGGGAGGACGGGGCGGATGATGGGTCAGAAGAAGGGTATTGGGATGGGGGGCGATGGGGTTGCTGGTGGGGGTAATGAGGACGAGGCACGCGCGGACGTCGCCAGCCCTACGACAGTGCGAGGACAGCGCGACACTTTGATACAGCCAGCTGCGAACTTACTTATGGCCAGAGTTCGAATACGCGCACCGCTGGCGGTGTCAAGCAACAATCGGGCGGGCCGCCCGCGGCAATCGGGCGCGCCGCTCGGATGCAGATCTGGACTTGCACGTTATTCTGCGATTGGTGTGGTGCACATGTCGCGCGTCGCCGCGTCTCCCTACCTCCCTCCCCCCCTGGTCACTCCCTCTCTCGTTCTATCTCTCACTCTCTCTCTCTCTCTCTCCTTCCTTCCCTTACCTCCCTCTCGCTCGCCGCCCCCCCTCTCTCGCTCTCTTCTCTTTCTCTTTCTCTCTCTCTCTCTCTCTCCCTCTCTATACATAGATGTAAGTATGTATGTATATATACACATATATATGTACATATACCTATATATATATATATAGATATCAACATCTATATGTATCCACCGCCGTGCCTCGAGGCACGAAGGTGAGTCACATCCAGGCTCTCACATGTTCCCTGTTCTCTGTACTCAAGACTGGAGGGCCTAGCATTCTAGGGGCTTGGGCCCCAGATTCTCAAGTTTCATAGGCGCTCCCACGCGCTCCTGGGCTGCCTCGCGCGATGTTTCCAAAGGCCAGGGGGCCCCAAGACGGGCCCAGTGGGGCCCAATAAGCGCCCAAGAGGTCCCCAAGACAGCACAAGAAAACTACAAGACGTTCAAGATAGCCCCAAGACTGCCCAACGCCCCAAAGAAACCCCAAGGCATCAAGAGGACCCGCAGGAGTGCCCAACGGGGCAAAATTCATTGATGCTCCTTGTGGCGGTCGATGGTGGTCGCGTTCTCGCGTGTTCGGGCTTCCGACGCTCCAAGATGGCCCCAGAGGCCCCAACGACCGCCCCGAGACGGCCCAAGAGGCCCCCAAGCGGGGTGGAACCGAGGCAAAGGCTCCCACTCCGTTGCGCCCAGGCTGGCTGGGAGGGGGCACCGGCGGCCTCAAGAGCCAGCCCCCGAGCAGACGCGTGCGCCGGCGCGAGACCTCGTGCAGCGCTGCGTGTGGGGGCCTCTCTCGTCCTCCCTCCCTCGTCCTCCCTCCCTCGTCCTACCTCGTCCTTTCTCCCTCGTCCTCCCCCGTCCTCCCTCCCTCCCTCCCCCCCCCCTCCCCTCCTCCTCTGCCGCGGGGCTCTCGGCGTGTCTGTCAAAAAAAAGTGTGGGGGCCTCTGCTTCCTCAGCAAGTCCAAGCCTTCGGGCCGTCCGAGGGCCCGCTGTCCGAGTTGGCTTGGCTCGCGAATCTTGGCAGCGTGGGCGCCTACCCGGACAATGGTTAAAAAAAGAGCTCCGACAAAAATAATGTCTCCGAAGGTACTGCCAACAAGGAAGACGCTGGCGCTGCCGGCCGTCACGCCCACTCCAGGGGTATGTAACGACCTTACATGAAATATATTGTTGCCCCGCGACTTTACTTCGGCACTGCGTACCAATTACGCGGGCCATTTCAATGAGCACGTGTGCAAAGGGCACGAGTCTTGCGAAGTACTCTGGATATCATGCTCGAACATCAGCGCATGGAATGTCACCTGGTTAGAATGGGTTCCAGGGTGGCAGTCCATTACCACCCCGATTTACATGCTCTCGGATGGGGCCCCCGTGAGAGGTGTCGGGAAGAGCTGGTGGGAGTCCATGCGCATCATTTACTGGTCGTCGTGCCTAGCGGGTCGCAGTAGCACGCTGGATACCAACATGTTGGTGTTCGGCATGTGGTGGCACTTGTCTTCCAAAATTACCTGGCCACGTCATCATGCGCCGCGTCTGGCGGAAGATTGCGTGGTCGTTTGGGGGCGATATATCTTGGGATGCTGCTTCGTCACGATATAGATGGCAAACTGCACCGAGGGTCCCTAAGGCTGGAGGTGTCTGCTTCGTCCTCTTCTGCGTCAATGCCAACTTGGAGGCGTTGTCGACCGACGTGTGTTTCTTGATATTGTCTCGCCAGAAGCATTCGGCAATGTCACGGACAATAGCGAGGGATGTGACGGGGGAGGGCGGGGGGGATGAGAGCAGGGGAGAGCACTCCTGCGTTGGATGTATATTGCTTGCTTCCTCCCAACGATGTGTTCGCTCTCGGAAGCGGCAAGGATGCTTGCGTTGCGTGTATATTCATGCGCTGTCATGCTGGTGACTGTGATTGGCCACTCGCAATGGCGCAATTGTTCTCACGCGTTCATCCCCAGGAATTCCAGCTCCCGTGGCTGACGTCGAACCAGCCCTGCGAGAAATGCCCGTGCATTGTCACGGACACGCCGTGGACCGACCTCTCCCGAGCACGCGTGCTGGATGCCTCGCGAATGGACGGTCCACGCGTGGAGAATGCAGTTCCCAGAGCATCATCCAAGATGTGGCGTGCCAGGTGTCACCGCCAAGATGGTGATGTGTGGCATCCTCCGCGCGGAGCACCTTGGGATCGACGCGCATTACTTTGGCAGCGCATCGTGGCTCCGCTGGTGTGAGTTTCTCCCGAAAAAACCCACGAACATAATGCAGCATGTGTTCGACAGGTGCCCTCAGCATTAGGTCGGGCATGTCTTCCTACAAGGGGATGTTGGGCGATTAAATTGAAACTACCCCCCAACATACTCAAACATAGTTAGACAAACCGTCCCCAGACGATTGTTCGACCATTTTTGAACATTCCTCATGTAGAGAGACACGCGCGACTTAACCTCAGCATGGAGGTCGGGAAGGCACCCCACATCAGCACCACCACCTCGAGCTCGCAGAGTGGCCGTCAAAGGGGGGGGAGGACCTCTCCCGCGGCGGAGAGGCCGGGGCGCCGAGACCGAGGCCACGGCGGCCCTCCCCTCGTCGAGACGCGTACGAAGGGTGCGACATGGCCCAAGCCACGGATGCGCAGCTGTTCGTGCGCGTCGTCTCGGAGGGGGGGTCTCTTGCGAAGCGTCTGTCTCTACGCGTACATATCCACGCCGCGAATAAAATACAAAAACTGACCGGAAACTACACCGAACCTTTCCTCTCGGAGGGAGGGTATCTTGAGCGCGGGTGTGCGGTGGCAGTGTCTCCTGCCTGCAGCCGCGCACGACCTGAAGGAATGCGCGCTTGCCTTTCTGGCCGTGCAGGCCGCCGCCGCACATATAGATATATATATATATATATACATACATACATACATACATACATACATACATACATACATACATATATACATGTATATATATATATATAGTGTTAGAGTTTCTCCACCGCCGCTTCTGTTTCGACGTGGCAAATCCGAGCCGCTGCCTTCCGCACGTCGGCATCGAGTGCCCGCTTATCAGTCACCGGATAAGCTGGAACTGCACCAGCGAACATTACAAAAGCCGCATGCAGGCAGTCGTCTCCCTCGTGCTGCAAGGGCAACAGGTCTGACCAGGGCCAGCGCCAGATGATTGGTAGGTATTGCTGGGTGCATTGAAGGCGAGAGCGCGGCGCAAGGGGCACTTGCTCGATTTACGCGCGCGCCGCGCTCGCATGCAATATATACGTTCTAATGACTAGTCTGCCGATGCCCGATGATATACTCGTAAAGGTAACATTGGACTTCAGCTACGGGATGACAAAATGGTGCCGATTTTGGTTATGGGCCAGGCCGCCAAATCTTCACTCGGAGCTAGTTGGAGGGTGCCTGGAGTAGGAGAGGCGACCGCAGTTTTCGAATGGCATGGACATCCACATCGACGAGAAGGATAAGCAGGTCTCCGCGAGCTGATGCTCTACGGTCGGGGCGCTGGAGAAGGAACCCTTTTCGTTTGGGAGGGGCTCCGTGCTCCTTAGTTGCTTTACAGTGCTCCTTGGGTTTTCCTCGGGTTTTCCATGGAACATCTGAATTCAACTTATGGGAAAAAGGGGCCTCGTTCCTTATTTAGGGTTCCTTGGGTCAACGCCCCAACTGTACTTCAAAAGAGGTCTGCAGACTGGGCGAACGACAGATCCGCGCGTCCGCGGCCCCGCGTGCCGGGCCGGGCCCCCGAGGGCGGCGGGCCCCCCGAGCTACACGGGGCGCCCCCGTCCGCGGGGGCGCCCCGCGCGGGACGCCCTCGTGCGACCGCGCCTCTGCGGGATCGCGGGACTCGAAGAGGCAGAGATCGACAGGCTAGCAATAACGCCGGCAATGAGAAGATCGCAGCCCCCCTCGGAATCCGAGACCGGGGAGGCGAAGTGAACCCTGCAAGGGCGTGGCTCGAGCCCAGATCGCAGGGGCCTAGGACAAGGACAAATCCGTTCCAGAGCGTCCCGGGACGCTCTCAGAGCGTTCCAGAACGCTCTGAGAAGTCTGAGATGTGGACGCCCGAAATGGGCACGGAAAGAATGGGCACAATGCCCATCAACACATGTTATCCCAAACCAACAGCGGCCGCTGCTGGGCAGGCGGCCTCCTGCCTCGAATGGGCACGGGCCGCGGCGGCGTGGACAGCGAAGCCTGCTCAAAATGAACAGGAACTGCTGTTGGGCATTGTACAGTCGAGGCGTTGACCTAGGAACCCTAAATAAGGAACGAGGCCCCTATTTTCCATAAGTTGAATTTCGATTTCGCATCGAAAACCTAAGGAAAATCCAAGGCAAGCTGCGAAACAATTGAGGAACACGGAGCCCCTCCCCAACGAAAAGGGGCCTCCTTCTTCAGGGCCCCGACTGTACCCATTCTTTCCGTACCCCTTTCGGGCGTCCAGATCAGAGCCTTCCAGGGACGCCCTGAGAAGTCTGAGCAGGCCGCGGCGCGAGGCGCCCTCCAGAGCCGGCGGATCTCAGAACTTCTCGACCTCTCCTCGCCCGATTCTGTCCTCGCCCTGGCACATGTTGCTCCCATCCGGCTTAAGAACCACATCCCAGAAATGATTTCGAGCACCCGGAAAAGTGTCAAAAGAGTGTGGAAACAGTGCCGAAACAGTGTCGGACGAGTGCCTCCTAGGGCCCGACACGCGAAAACCCTCGAGTTTCGTTTTTTGTTTCTGGTGCTCGAAATTCTTGCTGGCGGTCAGGGCTAAAGTAGGTTGGAACATCATAAGTCCTGGCCTCGTCTTCGCCCCCCCCCCCCGCGGGCCTCCCCGGCGTCGGCGACGTTCCGCAGCAGCAGCACCTTCGTGGGGGCCCCCACGGCCTCGGCTCGCGCGGCCTCCACGGCGCGCGAGGCCCGCGAGTGCGCGCGGGGGGGGAGGCAGGGATGGGGGGGGGAGGAGGCGGCGGGGGAAGGGAAGGACTGCGACCGGCGGCGAGCCCCGGGGTGGAAATCAGAAGGCGGTGGCCTGCTCGGAGGGCTGGGAAGTCCCCATCGGCCTTCCGAGAGGTTCTCTGAGCCGTCCCCCGTAGACACAGAAGACCTCTCAGAAGGCTGGAGGGTTTCTGAGGAGTCCCGCCGCCTTCTGAGAATGAAGGGGCCCCAGGACACAAAAATAAGTACACACAAATAGAAATACTCCCTACATATTTCCAATATTTTCTGGGTTTTTGTCTTCCCCCCCACTACCCATAGGTTCCCATATTTTCTGGGGAATCGATGATTAATTGTGTCTGTGTTTTTTTTCCCTCCTGGGAAAAGGCCTTCTGTTTCTCGTCTCCCACGGGCGCTCCCGCCCGGTGTCAGAGGCCCCGGGGCCCTCACGGACCGAGCCCGCTCGAAAGGTTGCGCAGCGGAAATCGGTGGCGAGCGAGGGGGGGAAGTGAGAAGGAGAAGGCCTCCTCAGAAGGCGGCGGGACTTCTGAGAAGCCCTCGCGCCTTCTGAGAAGTGTTTTGTTTGTCTTCGGGGAAGGCTCAGGAAACTTCTCAGAAGCCCCAGGGACTTCCGAGCCTTCTGAGAAGGCCCGCCACTTCTCACTTCCCCCCCTCGCTCGCCGCCGAAGAAGGATGGGGTCGGTCTGGGGCTCTGGTGGCGCTGTTCCGCGATGCTGCATGTGCTTTGCGACGCCAGGCCTAAAGGGGGCCAAGGACACACTAAGAAATGCAAACAAATCCCCCGATTCCCCTTCTGTTCACATCTGTTGTGGGTCTTCGTCTTTCCTCCCATATTTTCCATTTTTTCTGGAAATCGACGATTAATTGTGTCTGTGTGTTTTTCCCCTGTGTTTCCCATCGCAAAGGTCTGAAGGCAGGAGGGAAAGGGAGATGGGGATGAAGAGGGAGAGGGGGTGCAGGTAAGCTAGGTGCGCTGGCACTATACCTGATATCCTGCCACTCACGTCAATCCCTTCCCATTGCGCAGATGTTTTCTCTATCCGCGAACGCGTGTCATAGCGGGGAGCTGCGCACATACGACATACGGGGGAGGACGAGGGGGAGGAGGAGACGGTGGTGGATGAGCAGGAGGATGAGCGGGAGGAGAAGGAGGATGAGCAAGAAGGAGGAGGAGGAGGAGAACAGCGTACAGGGAAGGAGGAGGAGGAGGAGGAGGAGGACGACGACAAGGATGAACAGCAGCAGCGGGAACTGGAGTGGAAGGAGCAGTAGGCGCATGAGGACCAGGGGAAGCGGCTGCGCGAGCGCCGGCAGGGGCGTGGCGCGGACCATGACCGTCGGAAGCGTCGTCCATCATGGACGAGGGCCATGACCAGCGGAAGCGTCGTCCATCATGGACCTCGTCAATTCGTGGATCGCCATCGCGAGTCGGCGACGCTCGCCGTGGACCTCGTCCATAGGGGAACAAAGAGTGACATAAACATAACAACTCTGAGGTCCGCGCGGATTTCTCGGATCGGCGCTGGGGCCCCCCGGCGGCGCCTCCCGCGCCGCCCCTGGCGCGCTACGCAAGCCAGGGAGGGGGGTCCAGCGCCGATCCGAGAAATCCGCGCGGACCTCCGAGTTTTTATGTTGATGTCACTTTTGTTCCCTTATTTGTTCGGGTCGGGCGAAAGGAGGGGTTAGCAAAGGGGGGGGTTGAGAATCAGCTCACGTAGCTGATTTTCACGGCGCCTCCCGGCGCCGGAGGCGTCTATGTATCGAGGAATGGGCCCCTCGGTGGGGCCGAAACCAGCTGCATGCAGCAAATTTCGTAACCCCCCCTTTCCCAATCCCCCCCTTTCGCCCGGCCCGGTCTTTGTTCGCGAGCGCAGGCGGGAGAGCCGCGCGCCGTCGCAGGGGCCAAGACGAGCGCAAGGCGGCGGCCCCATGGAAGGCACGCGCAGCCCCCGGGAGGAGCAAGCCGGGAGCGGCCGCGCGGCTCGGCAGGCTCGGCGCTGCACCCCCCCCTCCCGCCGCCCTGCCCATGGCGCTTGCTTTTTGCGGGTCGGGCGAAAGGGGGGGATAGCGAAAGGGGGGTTTGAAAATCAGGTCAAATTCGCTAATTTTCCCGGCGCCTCCTGGCGCCGGAGGCGGCCATGTATCGAGGAATGGGCCCCTCGGCGGGCCGAAACCAGCTGCATGCCGCAGATTTCGTATCTCCCCCCCCTTCCCCAATCCCCCCCCTTTCCGTCCGGCCCAATTCTTGGTCGGAGGAGGCTCCTGGAGCTGCAGCGCAGCGCGGGGCCGCGCGCGCCCGCAGACGGCTCGCGGCACCGCATGGGGCCGCAGCGCGGGGGGCTACGGCGGGGCGGCAGGGGCCCGGCCTGCCCCGGCGCACGCCCGCGCGCCCGCGGGGGCGGCGCCGGGGGCGCCGACCCGGGAGGTGCCCAGCGCCGAGCGGGAGAGCTGCCAAGCGTGTGTGGAGCGTGCGGCTCGTCGGTTGAGAGCACGGCCTTTCGGCTGGCCATCGCCACACGGGCATTTGCCGTCGCTCGGACGTCCACTTCCTGTGCATGCTTCGGTTTCGTGCGTGTTTTTTTTTGCTCGATGGTCCAGGATGGTCCTCGATGGTTCTCGCCGAGGAACAAAAATGCACACGTCCGAGCGATGCCAAGGGCACCCTGCGGGACGTGGGCTGCGGCCGAGAGAACGCGGAAGCACCAGCGCAGGCCTGCTGGCGCGCAGAGCAGCGACCGAAAGAGACCACCCCCGGCGGACGAAGGGGGTTCCGCTCTGCACACGGGACGTCACCGCAGCGGCAGCGCTCAGAAGGTTCGGAGCCCCCCCCCACCCGTCCGAGAAGTGTTCTGCGCAGTCCCCGAAGACGCAGCACACTTCTCGGAAGGCGCGAGGGCTCCTGAGAAGTCCCGCCGCCTTCCCAGCAGGCCTCCTTCCTCTCACTTCCCCCCCCCTCTTCGGAGTCCCGAAACTTTGCGGGGACAGACCGTGCGGTGACCTCGACATCCCCCAGGACCTCACAGCACGCTCCGTCAGCGCACGGCCCCAGGACCTCGGAGGCCCCAGCCGCCCGAGGCGCCCCCAAAGAGCGCACGGCCCGAGTCGCCCGCAACCGTGCGGTGGCCCCATGATCCCCACCGACTCGCCGCACGGTGTGGCGCCACCGCCACGCTCGGGGGGCCCCCGGCCCTCGCCCGCCGCCGAGGGGGGGGCGGGGGGCGCCTCGCGGAGGGGGGCCCAGCGCCGACCCCTGGCGCTCCGCGCGGAGCCTCCGCACAGCATGCACGGGCACGGGCGGCGCCGTGCGCGGCGGGGGCTCCTCGGCCGCCGCCGCCCGCCGAGGCTCCCCGGAGAGCAGTCCCCCCGCCGGCGCCTGCGGAGGGAGCCCCGCCTCGAGCGGGGAGGCGTACGCGTCGGGCTCAGGGGGGCTCGGGGTTCCCAGAGGTCCAACGCACTGAAGAAGTCAATACCGTGTTTTTGTTCGCCGTTCTCGGCCTCGAGAGGCCCTCGCCGGGCCGCTGGACAGTCAAAAAACGGCTCAGGATAGAGCACCAGTCCTGGGGAATGGGTCGAGACTTCCGCGGGGGCGTATGAAACAATCGCAACATTGGGTCTCTGGGTTTGTCGGCCTCCTAGATGGGGTCGGAGTAGATGAGTAGATGGGGTCGGAGGATCGCGCCGCATCGCCGATACATCGGCGATGCATCGGTGATGCACCGGCGATGCACCGGCGATGCATCGTCGACGTCGGCGATTCATCGGCGATGGCGACGTGAAGCACATCGGGCTACACATCGAGCCGCATCGGCGGTGCATCGGCGACGCGGCGCGACCCTCCAACCCCACCTACTCCGACCCCATCTGCTCCGACCCCAACCCCATCTGCTCCGTACTGTCGAGCGTCCCGAAACCCACAGGGCGCGGGGGGAGACCGGCCGAGCGCGTCCCAGAAGCATGCAGCAGCCACTCGGGCTGCAGCTGCCTTGCACAGTGTCGGCTCCGAGGAGTGCGGAGAGGGAGGGGGCGCGGATGGGGGGACGAGGGGACGGCTCGGTGGTAACTTCTGGAAGCCTCCCGCGCCATCTTGCTGGCTCTTAGGAAGCGACGTGAGCCGACGCGGGCCAACGAGAGCGGACGCTATTCGGCGGTAGATCCACGCAGTTGGCGCTAAATCGACGCTCGTCGAAGCTGCATCTGCGCCTAATCGTCGATCACCAGACGCCAGGGCACGCTCGTGCACTCCAGAGGCGGAGTTGCGAGGACTCACGAAGCTCCCATAGCTTGCGACCGAAGGGCGCGGAGGGGGACAAGGAGAAGGAGGACGGGCACGCGGGAAAGTGGGCATGCGTCGATGTACATGGATCCTGCTTCTCGTCCAGCCCCCACGGACGCACAAGAATCACGGGGGGTGAGTGCGGTCGCCTTAAGCTCCTGGAAGGCGGGCTCCCGCAGGAAGCTGAAGTCCACCGACTCTTCGCCGAAGCGCTTCGCCTTCAAGCGCTCGCCTGCGGCGGGGCGGTCGAGAGGGAGGCCGAGAGAGTGGGGGCGAACGACGAAACCTGGACAAGGGGGGCGGGTAGGCGGTAGTAGGGGAGAGGAGCCGGGAAGGGGGAAGTGACTGGGCGATTGGAGGGGAGGAGGAAGGAAGAAGGCGAGGCCGTGGGGAGGGGGAGGGCAGGAGGGATGGGGAGGCTTGAGGGAAAGTCGCCCTCTGGTTTTGAACTAAGGTCGGCCAACTCGGAGCTCCCTGGTCGCTGCAGGTGTGCGCGGGAAGCAGAAGTGGAGGGGGAGGAGGGAGGAGGGAGCAGGAGAGGAGGACCAATGCAATCCCAAGATAAAGCACGCTGCAATGCACCGTCGCAACCCCAAGTATCTGCGAGTGTCCCTGAGGTGCGCGAAGGGGCGGACCATAAGGACAATCCGATGAGAGGTACGTGTGGGGGTTCGCCCACGGGTGGCGGCGCTTGGAAAAGGCAGGTTGCAGAATGCAACCAGCGGAAAGGAAGATCATACAGGATTGCCTGCTCAGGGTGGCCTCTTGAGACAGCGTGCGAAGCCAACCCATCAAGGGTAACTTATACGCATGATCCTATCGGGGCTGGCATATAGCCAAGCAGACGGATACTGCATGAAGGATAGCCTCCACAACAGCTTCTGTTAGTGGGAGGCGAATTGAGATGTGCCGATGGGGGATGTATGGCCTATGGCGGCTGACCCGCTGCGGAAGACGTACGGGGGGGGTGGAGGTTTTACGAGGACCCTGAGGCGGGTATGCATATGGGAGATTGCCTAAGGGATGGGGGAGGTGGCATTTCAAATGGCGGGTACCTCATGGGCGGGTAACGGAGCCTTTGGGTGATAATACATGGCCGATGGTGTGTAACTATAACCGAAGGTAGCCATCAACCCTGACCGAATAACCAAATATAGCCGCCAGAATCGGACATCACCTAATCGCTCCTCCGCCCCAGCCCGCATACAAACGGGAGCCGGCTCACCACTGAAGTGATCATGCCCTTGGATATCGACGCACCAGCATGCAATACAACATGAATCAGTTAGCTCGACGTTGCACTGCAATCATCAGAACTACCCGAATGGACACAGCAATGCACCCGGGGTCCATCCGGACAAGTTTTCCGAAGCGGATGCAGCCGTTGCGACGAGAGACCTCTAGGAGGAACCGTACAACAAATACGAACAGAGCCAGGGCTAGGCGCCGTTGTCTCGACAGGCCCTCCTGGGACCCCCTTCCTCGGAGGCAAGGAGGAGGAGGCATGGAGGATGGAGCGCAGGAGGAGGTGGAGGAGGAGGTGGAGGAGGAGGAGGAGACGACAGACGGCGGAATGGGCAGAGGAGAAATAGCAGAGGAGGAGGAAGAGCAGAGGAGGAGGAGGAGGAGGAGGAGGTGGAGGAGGAGGAGGAGGAGGAGGAGGAGGAGGAGGAGCCGCGAGTGGCAGAGGAGGCCGGGGCCCTGGCCCTGGGGGCGGGCGGGAAACGCACGGGGCGTCGCCCACGTTCTTGGCGTCGCTCCTCCGCTCCAGCTCCAGCGCCAGCCCGCAAGCGCGCCGAGAGCCATCTACCTCCACGGGCGCGCGCGGGCGGCTGCCAGGAGTGCTCGGGGAGCTGGGGAGAAAGCACGGGCGCCGAGGAGAAGGCAGAAGTGTGACGAGGAGGGGGACAGACGCAGCGTGCGTCCTCCAAGTCTTCTTGGTAGTTTATACATACATCTACACATGCATATAGCTCTCTCTCTATATGTATATATAAATAGCGAGGCACAATTGTTCACTGGTTTGCTGCGCTGCGCCATTGAATCCTGGAGCCATTGGGTAGCTATGTGGCGGATGGAGTGGCGGTAGAGAGAAGGTAAGAAGGCGATGGCGCTGGGGGGGACGCATACACGCATTGGTCCAGTAACCGGCAATGTGCTGAACACCATTACGAACATTGTCTACGCGTTCGGCCTTCGAGGACGCTCGCCGGACCGCAATGACCGTTTCCCCATGGCCCCGATGGCCGTGAGGAACCGGTCGAGATTTCCGGGGCCACCTGTCTCGAATAAAAACATCGGAAGTGTGGGTCTGCCCCAATCCGGGAAAAATTGTGTGATCCAATTTCGTGCTCCGAGATGCGCGGCTCGCGGTCATCTTCGTGCCTCCACGGGTGACCTTGAACAAATTGATCGAAGGGGAGGGTGGATTAACTTTGAGGGCGGATGAGGATCAGGAGACAGGCAACTCGACAAGCAAGGAGGATCGTCGATCCTCCGTACCTTTCGGCCTTCCGTCCTCCTCCCCGATCCTTCTTACCCCGCAAAGCAGAAGACGGGAGATCGAGATAGGAATCAATGCGCACCATCTCGCGCACCACTATACGTTGCCAACCCGTGTCAACAGGAAGCCAGTCATACAATAACATGTGGAACCTTGAAACAACATCCGCAACACTCAAAAGTATCATATCACATAGCTTGCACACGACATACTATCAGGTCCACATGGGATCGGGCAGTCACGCTGGGGACTCTACAGATAAGTTGGCATGCTGATTCCCACTCGCAACTTACCTGGCTGGTTGAAAAAACATGAACAACACATTGTCATCCGCCGATTGCTACCATGAAAGAAACCACGAACAAGACCGAACTTGCGAGGCCAATGACAACTTCCGCCGGCTTCCGCCGAGCTTCCACCGGCTTCCGCCGGCGGAATCTGCCCCGTTTTACTGACACCACCTTCCGCCGGCCCTCCGAGGAAGAGATATCAACTCGTTCGACCCTCGGAGGCGAGACCTCCAATGGCTAGCATTGGAGACAGGGGTTCATGACCCTCCCACCCCCACTGGAAAAAGACAACGACAGGGGGATGGACGATGAACGACTAAACCAACCCAGACGTTCGACGCCCTGAACATCACTTGATCTGGTGGAAGAAAGCCCCAATACGGGTCGCGCACACCAGCGTGGAATTGATCACGACAACGAGAATCTGTCGCCTTGGACCCCAGAATCCCCGTCCCTCTTTCTGCCTCCTCTCAAACCGCTCCTTCTCTCCTCCTCCTCCTTCTCCTCCTCCTCCTCCTCCTCCTCCTCCCTCCAAATCCCTCTGCGCTTCCGACTCGTCCTCCCGCCCCGATCGAAGAGACGGACGATGGGGCAGAAACGGGGAATGATGACGACCACGACAAGGACGACGACGACGACGACGACGACGAAGAGCAAGAGGAGGCGCCCACCGGGCCTCCTCGACGCATCTGAGCACGGTCCCGAACCGGCCGGCCTCCGCAACAATGTCCCCTTCAAGTTGCCTGTCGGCCCGAAGCGTCGCCGCCGGTCGTGGCCGTCGTGGTCTGCCTGCCGTCGTGGTCGTCACCGTCATCGCGGTCGTGGTCATGGCCGCAGCAGTCGTCAGGGTCGTCGTCGTCGAAGGAAGGAGGGCGGGGTGTCGAGGAGATCTGTGGGGGAGGAAGGGGAGCGAGGAGAGGGGCTGGAGGCGAGGAAGGGAGCGAGGAGACGGGCGGCTGGGAAAGCGGCAAACAGGTAAGAGGCGCTTCGCGGGCGGATCCAAGATGCACTTGCACGCTCTAGGCCCTTGCGCGGGGTCCGTATTGGAGGGGCCCTGGGTCACACAAACAAATACACACAACTAACAGGATTCCCCATATGTTCCCACATTTTCCAAGTGCTTGTCCTCCCCCCCACTTCCCATATTTTCATATATCTTCCTGGGAGGGGGCGACTCATCGTGTCCGTATGGTTTTTCCTCTCCTGGTGTATGCAGGGCAGCGGTGCGCCTCGACGCTCTCGGCACTGCCTGGAGCGGCCCCCCGGCTCATGCGCGAGGGCGAGAGGGGGGGATAGCAAAGGGGGGGGGGGGGGGTGAGAATCAGCTCGCGTAGCTGATTTTCCCGGCGCCTCCCGGCGCCAGGAGGCGACCATGCATCGAGGAATGGGCCCCGCGGCGGGGCCGAAACCAGCTGCATGCAGCAGATTTCGTATCCCCCCCCTTCCCAATCCCCCCCTTTCGCCCGGCCCGACTGAAAACAGGGGCTGAGATTCCCCAAACACCCACAGTATAGGGGGGGGGGGGGCTACTGGGCCCGAGCCCTCTCCCCAGGGGAACGAGACTTCGAGCGTGAGAGGGCGCAAGGGTGGAAGAAAGAAACAAAGAACGAGAGAGAGAAGTAGAGAGACAGACAAGAGAACGGAAGAGAGAAAGAGAGAGAGAGAGAACAAGAGAGAGAGAGAGATAAACACAAAAAGTAAGGTAGCCCTTAGGAGACGATTCGGAGACGACTGCCAACAAGGCTGCAGGTCTCACCGACGGGCAGTAGGCACTTACAGCAGTCTATTGACTGCGTGGTTTGAAGCGGAGAGATCTTGTAGATGTCAACGACGAACAAGATGTTGCGACGTTCCAGGGGAGCCAACGCTGGGACAGAAACTTTTCGCCTTGTCTGCGCAGGTTGATCCCAACCATGGGAAAGACAACACACACACAAGTGGCATGGGACAACTCAACAACTAATATCACAAGCAACCTGCCGCTGACCACATACACCCCTTTCAAGCATATGTTCGCCGAGTGACAGGAGTACGATACCACCAGCGTGGTTATGCTTGCTAGCAGGGGGAGGAGCCTGATGCTGTTGGTTTCCCTTTGATTTCTGTATAACTCTGGGAGGTCATATTTGGCCGGCGTGCGTCGGGCGGAAGCGTGGAGTCGTTTCGCGTGAGTTAGGAAAGCACGTTGGCACCTTAGACATGGATGCTTTTTCAACATAACGAATTCAGAGTTGTCGTTTTGGGCATGGTCGTTTCCGGTCCGCCCCAACGAAATTGGCGTGAAGGCGCCTCTGGGAATAGCAAATGGGCGACGTCGGAAACCCTGAACCCGCAAACGTTGTCGTCTCTTGGGGGCGCACCTTTGACTTCCGCCGCCTTCCGCCGAGCTTCCGCCGAGCTTCCGCCGGCGGAGGCGGCCTCGCTTTGCTTCCGCCGACCTTCTGCCGCCCTTCCGCCGCGGCAGAGATGGCCACTCCTTCGATCCTTGCAGGCAAGGCCCTGTTTGAGACGCTCCAAATCGCACCCAGCGGTGGTGGAGGCGCCCTCGCCTGCTGACCTCTCGGGCGCCGCCGCCGGCGGGGACGACCAGCAGAAACCCGCCGGCCCCTCTGCCGAGGGAGCTGCCCCAGGCACGTGGACGAGGGGCAACGCAAGGGGGGGGATTCGGCTCAGGGGGGAAAGCAGTCATGAGAACGGCGACGAGGAGGAGGAGGAGGGGGAGGAAGATGAGCTCGCCGTTCTCATTGTGCACCTGCCCGAACTCCTGCCCCATTCTCCCATTCTCCTGTCGTTCTCCCCCCCTTTCTCCCCCTCCCCCCCTGGGGGGCGTTGGGAAGACCTGTTTTTCCACCGCCCCTAGGCGGGGGGCCTCCCCCGCGTGGTGTCTTCAGTCTACTTCCGCTACATCTCGCCTAGTTGGATCAACCTCCCCCCCTTGGGCAACGGCCCCTGGAGGAGGAGAATGGCTATACGTCGCGTTCCACACTGGAGCCGGCAGTGTCAACGTCAGGGGGAGCTGCTGGCGCTGCTCCGGTATCGCCAGGTCTGGAGTGGGTTGTCCTCGCTGGGGGTGCGGGTGGGCAGTGCTGTCCTCAAAGAAAAAGGGGGGCAAGCCCAGGAGCAGCGGACACCAGCACGCACCACCAGCGAGGACAAGCTCGAGGCTGCTCCGCTCTTAGAGGCCTCCTAGAATGGGATCCGAGTAGGTGGGGTCGAAGGATCGCGCCGCATCGCCAATGCATCACCGATACATCGACGATGCATCGACGATGCATCGGCGACCCCGCCTGCTCGGACCCCATCTGGGAGGCCTAGAGAGGGCCTAGAACTCGGCGGCGACCCGCTCGAGACTGCTCCGCTCTTCAGCTCGAGGCAGCGCGGACCTCCTCGCCGAGCTGGCCCCCTCTTGGGCGTCCCCAGAAGGTGCGGTGGCAGACCGTGCGGTGACCTCGAGAAATCCCCCAAGACCTCACCGCACGGTCCGTCACCGCACGGTCTTGGGACCCTGGAGGCCCCAGTCGCCCGAGACCTCCTCGGAGAACGACCCGAGTCCCGACACCGTGCGGTGACCCCGGATCCCCACCGACTCACCACACGGTGTGGTCACCACCCCGTTAGGGGGCTGGGCTCCCGACTCTCGCGGTGCACGGCCGCCGCCCCAGCAGCGCGGCGGCAGCCGGGGGAGGGCTGGCGCAGGCCCGTCCCCCCCGCGGTCTGGGCCAGAGGCTGCGGCCCGCGGGCCGGAGGGGAGGGGCCGAGAGCAGAGCAAGAAAAAGCGCCAAAAGTGGCGGCGCGCACAAGGGGGTGGAGGGAGTGGGGAAGGCTTCTTCGAAGGAGGCTGCTTCTCAGAAGGCGCCGGCCTCACATCTGTGGATGAGGCCCGCGCCTTCTAAGAAGCAGGGGTGCTTCTAAGAAGCCCTCCCCCCTTCCCCCCACCCCCCTCTGCGCGTGGCTGACATGCGTAAACACAAAAAGTGTTGCAGCGCCCCGCGCGGATTTTCCTGGATCTGCGC